ATTTATTTAAAAAACTAATAAATGATTTACAACATACATGTAAAATTAAATATTTAACAAAGAATTTTCTTTGTAATTAAATAAATATAAATTACACCAATTATATTTATATTACAAATCAAGATATCAAGCTTCTAAATTCCAAAATTCCAAAATTTTTATAAATTTGACCAAAAAAAAAGATTGATAACGAAATTGACCTTTTATTTTAATGACCAATCAAATTAATGATAATGTTGTTGCTACAACAGAATTCAATTTTCGATACGATTAACCAAAAATAAATTCGTAATTGATAAATTTTTCATCGAAAGTTAATAAACTCTTTTTTGTTTCTTGAGAATTTTCTTTCTTAATCAAAAAAATATTTAAAATGGTGATTTTTTCATCGTTCGGAATAATACATTTAAATTTTTTTAAATTCATCGTTGCAATAATATAATTGCATTTGAATTCGATCTAAATTTCACGAATCTTTAATTTTATCATCATTAAAGTTACAGAATAAAATCCGAAATTTCATTTTTTTTATAAAAAAATCAAATTAATAATCAAAAACAAAAAAAATTTTAATTTCATATCTATATACAATTAAAGAATGACGCTTATTTGATATTGATCTTGCATTAGAAATTTGCAGTAAAAAGAGACCTGGCTTTGCTATTGAAACATGGCAAAATTATGTATTTTTAAATTTAAGCAAAATAATGTAGAAGCATTAAGAAATTGTGAAAATACTTATTACACCGAATTTAATTTAAAACCAAGCGAATCTATAAATTCATTAAATTGTTTTCTAACCAATTCTAAATAATCATTAAAAAGTTCTTTTCAAATTTGAACCTCAACTCTTTCGGAAAGTAGTTTTAAATTTGACAAATGTGCATAATAAATATAGATGGTGAAAAAAATAAAAAAAATGATAAAATTAAAATACTATTTTTCAAGAGCGAAATAGTATTTAAAAGTTTTTTGTTTGTTTTTTTGAGAGAAGCTATCTTGTGATTATATTGCTCAAATTCATGAGCAACACTATTAGTAATTATTTGTCTTGTTTCTATTAAAATAAATAATTTAATTTTTTTTTTTAACACAAATTTTAATAAAATACCTTCAGAAATAACCTGATCTGAAATCATTTTTATTCGATTTATTTATTATTATTATTATTTGAAATTACACAAATTTTAAAAAATCAAATTTAAAAATTCCGGCTCTTAAATACCTTCTGGAGCTGTTGTGAATGAATCTGATATTCCCACAAGACCTGGGTAAGGTGGAGGTGGCGAATCTGGAATAGATAACTCTGAAAAGGAATCTTCTCTGCAAGTAGAAGATAATCGACTCAGATAATGTTCTTCTTAATTAGGAGCATAACGTCCAGATTCGGTTCGTCTCAAAAGGTATGACATGGTGATATCAATTAATAAAACAATATATAAAGCTTGTAAGAAACACATAGAAAATTTATTATTGTTCAAGTTGCAGAAATGTTTTCTTTATAACCAATCTGAATATAACTAAAAATAGATATTCGTTGTAAATTCAAAATAAAGACATTTTTAGACACATTGATATCAGTTAACCAAATCAAGTAAATAAATCTAATCAAAGTGTTGTTTATATGGGTTATTCTATATACACAAATTTAGAATTGCATATTTATTGGGGTAGTAAAGTAGCTTAATTATACGTATATGATGGAAGACAAGTCGAACTTCGTTTTCACAGATATTTAGAAAATTTAGTAAGTTATCTTCAAATCACTGAAGATTACATAACTGGTAAAATTAATAAAATAAATCAAACTAACAACCAATTACAAGAATCAATTGAAAAACTAGAAAATAAAATTAAAGAATCAGAACAAAAAAATAATCAATTGAATCAAACCAATGATCAATTAAATCAAACTATTATCAACTTAAAAGAAAAAATTAGAAAAAACAAACATATCTATTAATAATGAATTACAAGAAAAAATTGACAATCTAGATTTATTAAGACAGGAATTCGATTCGTTCAAGAAATCGATCGAGAAACAAAAAAAGATCGATACTCTGGTAACAAAAATATGCACGATACTAAGCATAAATTCAGATAATAATTTACTAAGGATATATAACACTTTGGTATCGAGTAACAATACAAATAACATAACAAATCAAAAAGAAATCATCAAATCGATATGTGATGTACTTGATATAAAATACCTAGAAAATAACGAATATCAAAATCTTGTAAACATAAAAGAAGCCATTAGAAAAAGAATATTTATAAATGAATAACTTTAATAGATATTTGACTCATTTATTAAATAAAATAAAAATTTTATTATAATAATTTATTTTAAAAAATATACAAATTTTAAAATAAAAAAAAATAAATAAAAAAAAATAAATAAAAATTAATCATTTTTTAATATTTCTCCTGCTTCGTATTTATCTAATAATTCGATATTTCTATTGATTATTTTTGATTTTGAATTTTAAGTTCACCCAATTCTCTTTCTAATTTTTTAATATTTTCAACCAATGACAAACCTTTATTATAGTTGGAAAAAGCGTCTTCGCAGTTTTTTTTTAATTTAAAACATGAAGAACATATAGTCATGTTATTATCTTTAATTTTTTTCTTAACTTCAAGAAGAGAAAAAATGACCATATCAATATCTTTCTCCAACTCCATCTAGTAATAAAAAAATATTATTAATAATTTGTTTATAAACAACATATTAAAAAATAAACTGAATAAAATATCATAAGAACAAGACAAAAAAAAACGAGTAGCGCTATCGAAATTCACAAGCTAAAAGTCAACTAAACTTGTGTCGTCCAATCACTCTGGTCCTAGTTACCAAAGGAGAGAACAAAAAAATATTGTTCTTTGCTACCAGTAGACTAAATAATCATGTATATCTAATATAAAAAAAAACAGAAAAAATACTAACGTTCGTAAGAATAAAGGTTGTTGTTTACAAAAAAAAGATCATCTTGATTTTAAATAAATATTTATAGTAATTTGTGTAATGTGTTTACATACGCGACAATGATCTTTTTCTGTTACACATTCCATGTATGTGATGATCTACAAATGTGATATTTGGTAGAATAGACCCGTTATTCTATATCAGACCCGAATTATTATCATAGTTATCTTCTGTTTGTATAGAAAAATCTAACACAGAATCTGACACAACTTTATCCTAATTTAAGTATAATCATTAATTATTATTTTAAAACTTTATTAACAAATTAATACTAATTTACCTCATATATTATAAAAGATTCATCTGTATAAGAATTAGAACTAGAACTATAATCTGGAAGATTATAAATGCTAGCATCCACTTGCTTCTCAGGTTCAGTTTGACTTGCCATTTCATTAGTATAAGGATGACATTGAGAAATGTGTTGGGATAATGTACTAGATCTTGAAAAATCACAATTACAATAAGAACATTGCCAACACATTTTGAAAAAAAATAAAAAAATGAAAAAAGAGAGAAAAAAAAGGCAGAAAAAAGAAAAAGAAAGTAAGAAAAAACGAAGAAAATGAAAATATAGAAGCAAAAGAAAGTGAAATAAATGAAAAGAAAACAAAAGAACCTGAAAATAAGCAATATTAAACGAAAGAGAAAGA